AGGGCTCCGGGGCTTCTTCCCGATCTGTACATGAACCCCTGAGGGTGTAAAGAGCATGGAGCCAGGCCCCGGTGAGCGGACACCAGGCAGGGCCAGGGGAAGGAAACCTCCGGCGTGATGGAGCTCGGGCAGGCAGCCGCACCATCGTCACCCGCTGCTGAGCGCCGGGACAGCTGCCAACCCCCCACGCCACTTGCAGCCGGGGGCTCCAGGCTGCTCCCAGCCACTCGGGCAACGGTTTGACAAGCTGGAAGGAATTGACAGTAGTTGTGCAAAGAAAGGCAAAACCAGAGCATTTTCCTGGAGAAAGGTCAGGAATCACCCTGACTCCAAAGACGTTTACGGACAGTACTGAACTACTCTTTTCAGTTAACAACCGACTCCCGAGTCTCTCGGCCAACAGCCATGGCTACAGCCCTGGCAAAAGGACGGTGGCTGCAGATAAAGCAAAAGGACGCCTCATCTCCTCCTGGATACCCAGACGAAGCGTCAAAACATTCTGTCCTGTGTTGCATAGGAGCCTCCAAGGTTCAGTCCTTTAACCCTGTAATGGAACACTGCTTCCTCTTCCCTCAGCCATTTTAACCCTTTTTGTCAAATTTCTGTGAAACAGCACTGGGTAACATATCACCATTTCTCTGTCTCCCTCCCTTGACCACGAGATACCCGGCCACAAGAGAATGTACACCAGAGAATTTGTAAACACTGATGATAACTGGGTAGAAGAATCAAATTGATTTCATAATTCCGTGAAACCACAATCACTGTACAGTTTCATTAACCAGTACTTCCTGTAAAAGAGGTTCTTCACTACAGCAAAGTGAAGAGGTAGTTCACATGCAAAGAAGCAGTTTACAGCTTAAGATCCGATTCCTAGTGCTGAGCCGCACCGTCTCCGGTTTCAGTCATACTGCACTAGCAGTGGGCTGCTGCGGAAAGACAAAGGGTTTCTGGTACTGTCTCAAAGCCCACCAGCCTGTATCCCAGTTGGCTTTAAGACTCACTCTCAGCGTATCATACCCCAAACCAGAGCATCTCCACACTGCAGCGATGCCCAGCACCCACAGCAAGCACCGAGCCCACCTGGCACTGCGTACTGGAGGGTTCACATCAGCTCTGGCTGAGCCCAGGCTGAACCAGCACCTTCCCAGCCCAGCCACCAGCACCTCGCAGCACCCTGCACACGATGCCCCGTCTCAGTTTTTAAACACCAGGAAGATGCTCTGCAGCTACCCCTGGGGCAACCGACGCCCTGACTTCTGAACAAAACTCTTTAACCAATGGCCAGGTCATCTGCCTAATAACACATGGACTCACACGCTAGAATGGGGCTCCTGTGGCAGCTGCTCCCCAGCAAAGCACTCCTGCTAACGCTGCCATGGGGTATGGAAATCCATCTTACCCGCCTTCCGGGCCTCCAGGGGATCTGTCTGCAGAAAACGGTCCCATAGCAGCACATGAACCAGATACAAACACAGCAGCAAGTCCTTCGTAAGCACTTAATCACCACAATGACCTTGCTGAAGAGAAAGGGACATTGTTACCTACGCTGGCACTGGAATGGCCAAGAACTGTCTCTCCCAAAACACGAAGAATGCTGAAGGGGCACAACGATTTTCGCATTAATCATTAACAGCGTAACAAAACCCAGCGACCCAGTGGAGAAACTCATTAACGAGCGCTGAATGTACACACTTTTATTTAAACACAGCAATGTACAGAGCGGGTAAGAGTTTGCCTTTCCCCTCTCCTCCCCCAAGAAAAACCGTGGACCTGGATATCGGAATTAGCACCTAGTGTTTACAAGGAAAGTACAGACTTGACAGGATTATTTCCTGACAGCACTGGTCAGACCCAGTGGCACACGGACACCTCATTTGATCAAATTTCTTGTGATCACCCCATCAGCTCATTGCTTCACCTCAGCAGCGCCGTCCTGGGTAACCGGTTCTCCCCGACGCCGGGAGTGCATAGTTCAGAAGGAGAAACGCATCTGACGGAGGGGGACAAAGCACAGATGAGGTCTGAGATGGCTGCAGTGCACATCTAAAGTAGCAGTATTGACAAAGCAGTGGAGCAGAATAAAGGGGCAGGTACCTTCCTCCTGGATGGTGAGAATTTAACATTGCTTCCGAGCAGTTCAAGCTCAGTAGCTTTTGTTGGATCTCTCAGGTACGTGTAGTCCAGGCAGGCTGGGTTAGCTGGGAGAGGTTTGAAACGACACCTAAAAGGTTTCTCTGGCGTAAGAGTTCTCTCGCAAGAGGTTACTTTGTGGAATGAGTTATTATTCTTACCGTGAAATAACCGATTAACCTCCGAATGGCACAAATTCACCTCGCCCTGCAACACTGCGCTGAGGGGGTGTCGCTAAAGATCAGACGACTGGTGCTGCATGAAAAGAAAGCTCGCTTCGCTGCTGAGAGCGACGGGTCACGCTTCTTCTCAACAGCGGCCTCTGATCACAGGGACTCATTTATCTACCAGGATTGTCAAGAAAGCAATCAAGACCCGTATCACCGACAGAAATCGCTAGGCAGTGCCAGAAAAGGAAGCAACTGTTGGCACAACTCCTGCACTACCCCTCTCCACCCCCTTCTGCTCCACATCACGCAGCTTCTAATACAAGCATCTCTCCCCCTTTCCGAAGCCTGGCTCAACGGCCGCTCAGAAGCGGCACTCTCAGCACTCACCGCCACCTCTGCAGGCTCCCGGCTGTACTGACAACCCCAAGAGGTCGTTCACATGAAGAAGTGTCATTTTTTTGTTTAACAGAGCAGATTTCGGAATGCATCAAGCTTTCAGACCATCACAACAACATCCTCTGGCTGTAGTCCTTCCGTTGTCCCATCTCCCCTGCTGACCCGGTACAGTGTACTTGCCTTTACACTGCACACGACTTCACCGAAAGGGGCCAAAATGAGCACTTTTACGTCATTTTCACTCACACACAAGATGTCATGCACAGTTGAGACATTAGATTTTAAATCTATTTACAATTTTACATATTTTACAATATATATTTCATCTTTACAGCTACAGAATAAATTCAGACTAACATTGGTACCTTTTGAGTTTCTGCTGGAGCTCGAATTCAGGTTAAATTCATTATTAAAAAGAAGTAAGTGCATGCTGAGAAGGAAGCTTTCAGGAAAGAGGTCAGTGGGCTAGTGTTGTTATTTAAATGGGCTAGTTAAAAATTACACCTCTTTGTGTAGAAAATTTAAATTCAGTTCAAAAACCCACAAAAGCCTAATAGAAATCTACTTGACTAAAATAAGTACAATTCATTACACTTAACCAACAAAAAAAGTACCTTTAAAAATGTACTGATTTAAGCTCATCTCATTTTTAGCCTTAAATTTACCTCCCTGCCCAAGCAGCAGATATGGGTGAGGGTAGTGTCGCTTCTCAGAGTGAACACTGACAACTATCCTGCGTAAACCTGAGGCTGCAGCGGCGGGGGCAGCTTGTCATTCTCCACATTTTCAGAGTCAATAGCTGCTAAGGCTTGATTTTTTGGCTTTATTTCTAATGGGTATTTCTCAACAATATCTTGGACTTCCTTTGTGATTCCATCAGTCCAATCTATTAGGTCTTTCTCAAGCTTCTTGGCTTCATTGACAATTCTCTCCTGCCTCTCATTCAGCTGAGACAGGAGGTCTAAGTTTTTATACATCTGCTTAACACCCAGGCACACGTCAGGGGAAAAACTGTCACCTTCTTGCTTCTTTGGGGAAGTCTGGCCAGTCATAAAACGATCAAAATCTTCTTGGCTTAGATTTAACGACTGAGCGTCCAGTTTCTCAATGAAGGCCACCGCACAGCACTGCAAACAAAACAGAGCGAGTATCACGGCAAGCTGCTCACGCCTTCTGATTTTTAATCCTGCTGTTAAAACCAGTAACTGACTGTTGTATTTAATGCCTCAGATTCTTCCCAAAGAGCTTTCCCAGCAGCTGTCTGTATCAGACTGTTCATATGCCACTCTCCTTGCCCCGAAGAAGCCACAGACTCGGAGAACGACACGGGAAGACACCGTTTCAGCTGAACTGCACTAGCTCGCTGGCCAAGGGCCGTTACAAAGCCGAGGGGCTCTGCACTCTGGGGGCGACACCAGCCAGAACAAGACACCGCACCTATCGAGCGCTACGTCGTATTTAATCATCTGAGCAGCAGAGATCAGCGATGCTCTCCACTCCTTCCCCCAGGATGTCAAATGCCCACCTGCCCTTGCGGATGCTCTCCTCCTGCTGAAAAAAATGCCACGTATTTCGTTCAACTACCTCTTTTCAAGAATTGCTTTATGATGAAACGCAGAGAAGCCAAGTTGACAATCACAACTCCATCTAACCCAAACAAGCACACACACAAACGCCTCCGCAGCAGCTCCGAGAAGCCTGTTTACCTCCACACACCGACGGCCCAGGTCTGCAGGCCATCCAGGAGAGAAACTCCCGTGGGCTTAAACAGGGAACTTGGCATTCATAGCATCTGCACAGTCCAAACTCAGCATTTTAGGAACAGAAAGTCCTTATCTCCTTACAGAATGAAAATATACTCCAGTCCTATCACCCGACTGTCAAGTAAAGACTTTGGTACTATAAAGCAGGCAGAGCACTGACTGGCTTGGAAAGCCGAGATGGGAGACCAAAGACACAGCAAGGTCTCCTGCTTTCTAAGGAACCTCAACTGCTATTGGAAGCTTTGATTTCTCTTTTATGTTACGCTGTGTTTGCCTTCACTGGAAATTCCTCCATCCACATAAAAGCCAATCTTCTTGTCTGAAACATCAAAACTGTTTGGCCCTTACCAGATTGGTGAAATAGTAGCCGTCTTCTCCCGTCATTAACCTGCTTGGATTGCAGAAGCGTGTTATATACTGGATGTTGGACTGCAGGCGGGGCGGGTTACCCTTCAAAACAATGTATATGAGCGTCGGAAGAAAGTCGTCAGCAGAAGCTGGTTCATTTTTTGTGATTTTAATAGCATTAAATATATGCTTGCTGCACTTGGTGATGCAGGCTAATTTATCCCGAGGGACACGCTTCGAATCCATTTCGATAATATCTGCAAGATAAAAAGTTTTCAAGTCACTAAACCCACATTAATCAGACACCTGAATGGGCAGGGCACCTACTGGACAGCATTAACGTTGCAGCAGTTTAATATTCTCTGGTTTGTCCAACCTCCTCTCAGTTCAGTCCAGGCATTTCAGACAGGTCAGGCAGGCCTAAACGTCGCGACAGTTATTCCTGCGTCACGGCTGACGCCGGTCCAACACCAGAGAGCCTGCTGCCCACCGGAGAGCCTGGACTCCCTTCTGGTGAGGGCAGAAACAATCGCTATGAACAGGAGACCTGAAACGTGAACTTCCGTGTTTACGCACCTGTAATTGCTTTTACAACCATATCAGAGACCTCCGGAATTTCCTCGTTGACAGGCACGCACAGCATCTGGGGAGTCACCCAGTGCAAAGCCCTGTGAGAGGAAAGAAGGTTCAGCCGTTCCGTGCCAGCGATATTCAGGTGTTTGAAACCAGCTGCTTCCCGAGCTCCTGCACGAGGCTCCAGGCCAGCACTAACCCCGTTATCCCACTGCAGTAATTTCCGTCCAGAAAACCTATTTTCTTTTCTTGCTACAACCAAACAAAAGCACGCCAGCGAGCTTTCCTCGCACAGTAACTTTATTTATTCTATTCATTCCTGTTTCTGAAACAGAGGGGTTTAACTCCTTCGATTTGACGAGCCTGCCATCTGTGTAGGTGCCGTGAGGTTTGACCTGCCCTATTCCAGCTCCCTCGCTGGACCGTGGATTACTCAACTGGTTTCCTTTCGAAGACTTACCTAATTCTCTTCTGGACAGCAAGGTCTTTCTTCTCATCATCAGTTGTTTCAGGGCAAAAGACGTATTTATACTGTCGAGTCATAATGTATTTTTCAATCTGATCCATTGCTTTCTCAACTTTTTCCGGGGGCACTGAAAGGCACAAACCCCGCCCCCAACAGAGTAAACCAGGTGTTCTGGCTCTTTGGAAGATTTCACACAGTTTGGTCCTAATCTCCCCAAACCAGTACTACGATTTGGGCCAACCCCAGTTAATGCAGAGTGGATGTACTGGGAGTATTTTCACCATCCCTGGCAGGAGCAATGATACGATGGTGAGAAAGCCCCAGCGACGTGCCCCAGCAGGCACGCGGCTCACAACAAGGCATGCTCAGCACTCAAATTAATTCAGGGGATCGTAGCCTTCAAGAATATTTCTCAAAAATACAGACTTTCGGAATAAATCCAGTAAGCTCTTCCAAGCCCTCCATTCCCGTTTACATGTAAAAAAGTCCCTGGGTATGTTTCAGCTGTGCCACGTACACACCTGGGGCGTGAAAGTGGTCCGCGACAGCGACCTCCCTCTCACCAGCTTCGTGTGCCTCGCCGGGTAACAAGAGGCCCGCAGCCCGTTAGCTGGGCTGAGGCTACACGATCAACCTCCGTTTTGAACAAACGGCATTGACTTTGAAACAGGAAATGAAAACAGCTGAACCACATTTCACAGAGTTTAAGAAAAACCTGTAAAAACAGTAAGTTAGAGTGCAAAATGTTACAGAACTGGTGCCGCTGGGATAGTTCTGTGGCCTCAGAATCTGCTAACAGCCCTGCTGAAAGCTGCTCAGGAACGCTTCCTTTTTACTTGAAAAGCAAGAGGCTTTATTCTCAAAACATCCCTTTTCCAGCAGTAAGACATGAGGAAGAAGATGATACCTTTCCAACGGGTCTGTAGCTTCTCTGCTACGTTTTGGTAGAAGTCCTGGGCACACTCGGACTGCTCCTCAATGCTTAAGTCCTGTAACAGAAAGCTGATTACGCGTCTTCGGAAGAAAGGACAGTGATGCCTCTGGCCTTTAGGTTCTGCTTAAGGAGAGGGTCCAGCTGCAGCCACAGTCTGAGAACGCAAATATATTGCCAGAGGTGTTTGTGCTGGCTTAAAAATAGGAGAGACCAGGATACATCAGCTCATGAACATGTGAGGGACCTTTATTTGCTGAGCAAGTGGACCTTAGCGACGGAATGGGATTTTCCCAATGCAGCGCGTTTTCCCACACACAGCCCTGAGTAACGGTGACAGAATAATGTCAACAAGCAGAATGCTTGCTCCCAGTTTTGCCTCTGCAACCTTTTAAAAGACGACATACAGTGTACCAAAACGACATTAACAGCAATCATGTATTTGAAGGAATGCCTATAAACACTCCCGATGATAAAGTTGCCATGAAAGATAGATATAGATAAATCTCTGCCAAACAACTAACTGGGCTACTGAAGAACATAACAGAGGCTTGAGGGGTTAAAATTAACTTTACTGACAAAGTCACTTCCACCATCAAATGGCAGCATAAAACCAGCCTAAAAAAATGGAGGGAAAACTTCAGCTTCTGGATTCCCCAGGGCCAGCACTGGAGCACCCCGAACACAGGGTCAGCTCTGATGGCAGTGCTGCACCTTGGGCCCGGTGTACGCGTAGTAGCAAATAGTATGTCTGGAGAAAGACTTCTTGTTGCCTAGCACACACTCTCCGGGCACCAGGACACGGGAGCACCGTCGGTGTTCCTGAGCGAAATTAAGGCACTGTACTCGCCAACTGTACGCTCCGAATGAATCGGTTTTAAACCCCCAGGCTTCAGGACGTTTTCAAAGGGGAGGGCATGTAACGACGGCCCAGCAGAACCCCTTCAGTTTCCAGAGTGAGGATGTAATTAGAGTAACTGCCTGCTGA